GCGGGAAGCCTGCTTCTCCCTCTCCCACTCCCCCTGCTTGTGTTCCCTCTCTCGCTGTGTCTCTCTCTGGCAAATAAATAAATAAAAATCTTTAAAAAAAAAAATTAGAGAAAAGTAGCAGAATTGAACAATGTCGCTTTGCAAAAACAAAATATAAAAGATATGTTCTTGGAAAATATGTATAATCACAGATATGTGGATTTAAATAATTAGAAAGAAAATTTTAAAGGTATATGTAAATATATTACAAAATTTAAATTTAATAACAATAATATTAATACTAGTTAAATTAATATTTCCTGCAAAAAAGGGCTAAATTTAAATAAATTAAATATTGAGAAAGAAAATGAGAATGTTATCAAAAAACTTCTACTCCAGGAGGCTTTAGGGCTGCTTTACTTTACTGATTCTTTTAAATTTCTAAGAAACGGGTCATTTCTAAGAAATAGATAATTTTTAAGTCCATGCTCTAGGACTTAGAAAAAGATGAAAAATCTACCATTACAGTTATTTCACTTCAACAAATCTTTATGAAGGAAACAACCCCAGATTTTGCATGCCCAATAGCTTTATTTATAATAATTTAAAATGGGGGGGATGTCTAAAAGTAGGGCAAAAGTTAGGTAAATTATGATACATCCAAATAGTGTGATATTATGCAGCCATATTACTAATACTCATGAAAAAGTGTTTAAGGGGAAACGATTACACTATATTAAGTGAAAAAGAAAAGACTTGGAAAATGCCAGTTATCACCTTCTTAACACAATACTCAGACTCTCTCTGGGTAAAATCACAGGTTATTTCTGTTATCCTTTCTATGCATTGCTGCATTTTCCCCGTGTTTTCTATACTGAACATTAATAATTAAAAGAAAAAAGAGAGGGGTACCTGGGAGGCTCAGTCCGTTAAGTGTCTGGCTCTTGATCTCAACTCAGGTCTTGATCTCAGGGTCGTGAGATCAAGCCTGGACTCCACGCGGGTCGTGAAGCCTACTTAAAAAAAAGAAAAATGAAAAAATAGAACTTTAATGGAAAATCTCCAACACTCTTTGCTTCCCCAGCTGAACACACTTAAGCCTCTAAATACCATCTTAGGCAAAAATTGTGCAATTCGTGTTATTATTTACCAATTAAAACCAAAAATATTTTGCAGACCTACTACCCCTCCATGCAGTGACCTCTTCTTCCTTTTTAAGGCTAACCTGGCCAAGCAGGAGGGCCGTCTGGCGGTTGCTAATGCTGAGCTGGGGAAGGCACAGGCTCTGCTCGATGAGAAACAAGGCGAGCTGGATAAAGTACAAGCAAAATTTGATGCAGCCATGAATGAGAAAATGGTGAGATTAAATCTATAAAGTTGCAGAAATGAGGTGTTAAAATTGTCCACAAGTGTGTGTTGTATTTAGAAATCAGGTAAATGTTGGTGACAAAAAAAAAAAAAAATTTACCTGACTGTCCTTCAGTGTTTGGGATCACTGTTTATCCAATCCCTGTTTGGGGTTTTTGACACTCTAAGGTCTTTCTGTGTGTTTTTAATAATCATTTTTGGTAAGAGTAAGCTGGGATATCATACCCAAAGGGTCCTCATTTGGAGGTTAGAAAACTGGGTTTGAGATCCAGTGCAGGCACTTATCTCATTAGGCGGTTGGAGGCAACTGATGGAGCTTCATCTGTCAAATGGGGATCCTAATACAACCTACAACCTCGTGGGATAGGTGGTAAGCAGTGGTAGTCTGCTAACAATAGGATCTGGGCAGGAGGGGCCCGGGGGGAAAAAAAAGCCTTGATTTGCACTGTTTGCTGATTTCTGTGATGTAGGTCCTCCCACCACTGTCAGTTCTAAGCTACCAACGTGCTGACACTGAACACAGATTTGGAAACAGACGCACAGCAGGGCACTATTGTATACTATACTATTGTATATATAGCACTGTTATATACTCTACACTACTGTACACCACCGTGCAGGTACAGTGCACTTAACCTCAAGCTCATAGATAATTCAAAAATGTAGTAAATAATTAGGAGGTGATGAGTTTTGATTATCTATTACCTTTGCTCTTAATGTAGTTTATGTAATTGTAAGTTTATATAATTTAATTTTTAATAATGTCTGTGTTCAACACCGGCCAGCAAGTCTTCTAAAAATGTAACAGTTGGCTCTAGTGAGTTGATACAAGTTGGCTGCAGCACATTGCTGTTGTGTAGAATTTTTCTGGGAAAAAAAAAAAATCACTTTGTAAACTTCCAAGAACTCAGAATTTTTAAGTCCAAGACCTAAAATGGTATATTTTATTGATTTGATTCTGTTTTGAAAACATGGAATAGAAATACTATATTAATTTATGTGATTTGGATTCTCTCTCACAAAATCTCTTTCCTTGAAATTTTGTAAGGTAAAATAACTCTATTATGAATCAATTACCAGAATTTAATAGGTAAAATTTCACTCACATTGCTTTTTTAGACTATATTTATTTTGCAAATTAAGAAATTCCTCCCTATGTTTTTATGTATGAATACAATGGATGTTTGATTAAGCACTTAAAAAAGTTCTTTGGGATATTCTCCCTTTACGAATGTAGGATTTGGTAAATGATGCGGATATGTGCCGGAAAAAGATGCAGGCAGCTTCCACCCTCATCGATGGGCTGAGTGGAGAAAAGATCCGATGGACTCAGCAAAGCAAAGAGTTCAAAGCTCAGATTAATAGGTATAAATTTTGGCCTTTGTTATAATTGCTTTCCTTCTTAGTCATCACCCTAGACGCCACCTCTTTGTGATATGAGAGAAAATAAAATACATCTCTCCAGTGAAGCACTTTGCTTCTTCATTTCTGTATATCCATTTCTGAATCTTACAGCTGAGGTTACCCACTCTCAGTAAAACGGAGAGGGATTAAAAGGTTGTGAAATATTTTTAATCTCAAGTTTGGTTCAGCAATGTAGGTTTTCAGTACAAGAGTCCTTCTTTTTCTGTTGTTGCTTTTTTTGTTTTTGTTTTTGGTTGCTGCAGGGAGGCAGGGGCACAGGGAGAGGGAGAGGAAATCTTAAGCAGGCTCCATGCCCAATGTGGAGCCGGATGCGGGGCTTGATCTCATGACCCTGTAATCATGACCTGAGCTGAAGTCAAGAGTCGGACGATTTCTGACTGAGCCACCCAGGTGCCCCAAGAGTGCTTCTGATATTGTTTGCATTTGCCAGAACTGTCTAGATACTTTCTCCAGTTCTGTACTCTTCACCTCAGTGATTTTGGACGTGTGGATCAGGGGTTTCCTCTAACTACAAGGCTGTCTTGTGGTAGTGTCTATTGGTGTCCTCAGAAAACTGGAAGAGGGGGGAATGAGAAAGGAGTAGAGAATAGCAAGAAGTGGGAGGAGGAGAGGGAGAGCCAGAGGGGGAGAAGAAAACAGTTTAATCAGGACTGAGTCTAACAGGACCAGGGCATGGCATGGGAAGAGGATACTGTCCTTCCTAGGAGTCAAGTCTCTGGACCTGCAGGCTTCAAGGAAGCAGTCTCTCTCTTGCTCCTTGGCCTTCCCCAAATGTGGCCCCTCCTCCCACCATTTGGGTTTGGGGGCTCCCTTTTGCATGGTCTGTCCATGTCTGTTTACCATGTGTTAAGGAGGGAGCAAAGAAGGATTTTGCCTAATAAGAAAACAAAACTGCCCTATGGCCTTTTGGACTCATTAATGGGAGAGGGTGAATGTGTTAGCTGACTCACGTTGTCTTGTGTCCCCACAGACTCGTGGGTGATATTCTGCTGTGCACCGGATTCCTTTCCTACCTTGGTCCTTTCAATCAGATATTTAGGAACTATTTGCTTAAAGATCAGTGGGAGATAGAGCTGAGAGCTCGGAAGATTCCTTTCACGGAAAACCTGAATCTTATTTCAATGTTGGTGGATCCTCCAACAGTGAGTATCACTTTCTTCATAATATTATTTGAATTCCAGCCTTACTTACTAAGAAATCACGGTTCACCTATTTTTTTTTCTTTTTTCATTTAATTAAAAAGATTGTTTTGAAAATACTTAAGAATTAACTAAAAAGAAACCTTTCTTTTTGGTATGGAAATTCCTTTGAGTTTTAAGAAATCTTGCTTTCAAATTATCATACATGGGGGTGCCTGGCTGGCTCAGTTAGTGGAACGTATAACTCTTGATCTCAGGGTCATGAGTTCGAGCCCCACACTGGGGGTAGAGAGAACATAAAAAAATAAAATCTTCAAAAAAAAAATAAAAGATCATTCATGAATTATAGGCTTGCTAATACTGGGCTTTTCTTTTAACTTTCCATTATTTGCACCACTCCTATTAAGTCACTCTCTTTCAAACATTTTAGGTGATTATAGGCATTAGCTAGGCCATAAGTCCTGGTATGAATCTTCTTTTGATCATAAACCATCTTTTCGTCCTGTCCAAGAGCATAGCCCAACAGTACGTTCTGGTGTCACTGAGTGATGGCCCCACGACACTAACCTTCCTTGTTGGGAATTTGATGCCACTGTTAATTTTCAGTGTATCTTGCCGAGCTCCTATGGCATTAAATGCCTTCCAGGCAATTTGTATTCATGAGCTGCTTTCTGATCTGTAAATATATTCCCCCGTGACTTTTTCCTTTGGGAAGCCATGCTATTAGTTTCGTATTATCCGTATCTAAAAGTTAAAAAATTAATCTTTTCCAATTCAAACAATGTTCAACTGGTTGTTTCCAAGGACTAGATAATGTATTAAAGATGCAGTGGACACTGATGAGGCAAAGTGGACCAGGGTATACCTTATTAATTACGGCCTTTGGAGGCTGCTGGGATAATTTAATGAGGGTGAAGGCTGGTGGATTCATTGGATCTCAGGTGATTTTATTGACCACGTGGAGGCAGGCTTGTGGTTCTCTCGTAATTAGGGAGGATTTTTTTTTTAAGTTGAGTTATTTATTTTCCAGTGATCTCTACTCCCCAACATGGGGCTCAAATTCAGCACCCCAAGATCAAGAGTCGCACACATTTCCGACTGAGCCTGCCAGACACCCCAGGAAATATATTTTTTTAATGTCATTGATGAACACCTGCCAGTGTAATATCCCTCCTAATTTCTCTGCCTCCAGCTATGCAAATCCTGCTCTCCAAGTAAACAGAGCCAAAGGGCAGGAAGGGGAAGCTTCAGGGGTTTAACCCTTGGTGCATATCTTTCCAGACATTTCAGTGTATTCTTTCCACTAATCCTGCCTAGTCTGGATCCCACCACTCACCCAGTCTTACCATATGTTAAGCCCCTATGTTCTCTGAATGTTAAGCAACCACACTTCAAAAATTCACAGTTTTTGTAATATTCCCTCATAAGTTTGAAAATGTAGCATAAAGGACTAAACCCTAATCTTGGGTTATTAAAGGATTTATTAGATTATAATTTTTATTTTTTTAGGTGAATGTTATTTGGGTCACATTTACAAGTTGTTTTTTTTTCTCTAGGTACCCATTGCATAGTCTCAGTGGAAAAAAATATATATCCCAGTATTAAATTCTTTTAATATTGTGGCAATTTTAATTATTATGAAAGCATTCTTGTTCTCCTCTGACTGGCCATATCCATTTCTTGTTACTTAGATTGGGGAGTGGGGGCTGCAGGGATTACCAGGAGATGACCTCTCAATCCAGAATGGCATCATTGTGACGAAGGCCACCAGGTACCCACTCCTCATAGACCCACAGACTCAAGGCAAAACTTGGATTAAATCAAAGGAAAGAGAAAATGACTTGCAAGTATGTACCATTTGGTGTATGGGAAAGCATTATTAAAATCATGAAATTTTCCCAAAATTTCGGTCGATTCTGCCAGTCATAAAGTCATCTCTGTGATAATTGTTTGTTAATTTATACCCTTGAGTTTTGTAACAGTGGTTTGGGGCAAGGGCTCAGATTATTTTCTTTGTTTTGTGTTCTCTCATGATGTACTCTTCTGTCTGTCCCCTTCCCTGGTTCTGTTGCCTTTGCCAACGTTGGATGTGGCTTTTATTCTGGGCCTTGGGTTTGGGCTTACAGGAAAGCAGCAAAAATAGAACTCATGACTCCTCGGTTTAGGGCTATTTGCTCCAACCTAGCTCAGGCACATGGTACTTCACGGTATCGTAGAGTCGTTTTAGAGTTGGGGTCTAATAAGGTGTTTATTTTATTTTTAATTTTATTTATTTATTTTTCTTAGAGAGGGAGGAGTGGAGGGGCAGAGGGTGAGGGAGACAGAGAATATCTTAAGCTGGCTCCACACCTAGTGCAGGGTCTGACGTAGGGCTCGATCTTACCACCCTGAGATCATGACCTGAACCTGAAATCAAGAGTCAGATGCTTCACTGACTGAACCAACCAGGCACCCCATAATAAGGTATTAATTTTATTTTATTTTTT